AGGCTGGTGGGGAGACTGCCAGGAAGGCCAGAAGAACAGTTCAAGGCCCAAATGGGTAGGGTTTTTTTTTTCTTTCTTTTGGAGCCTGGTTCTGCAATACTCTAGACTTACAAACCCAGACTTTGAAAATGGACTCATGATTTCATCGCTGTATATGAGACTAGCCTCTGGATGGTGAAGGCACCCAGTTGTTGCGCTGGGACATGTCCTGTGAGAAGAGAAAGTGGGGGACACTTTGGAATATAGAGACAGCATTTCAGGCAAGGATGACAGGAGAGTGGGGTGACTACAGACTGTTTTCTCACCCTTTCTAGTGTTGAGATCGCAGGCCCCTAGATCTGTTACGGTGGGCTGCGAGCTGAACGGGGCGGAGCCCAGTGGTGGTTACACAAAGAGAAGTTTGGCTCACGAACTTCCCAGTTCCTCATTTCCAGAGCCAGCTTTAAGTGTGAGAGCTGCAATTCCTATTTTTGAGTCCAAATCTTTGTTACATTCTTGTCATTCATGCAAGCTTGGGCTTAGCTATGCTGTTGGAAGATCTATAGACCTGGGTGATCACAACACAGTTCACAAGATGGGGTACTGGCGGCAAAGCAAACAGCGTCTGAGTAGGAGCAGAGGGTAAAGGGGTTAGCTTGAAAGCTGAAGGTGCAGATGGGGGGTAGGTTAAAAAAAGGTATAATCACATATTTATTTATTTATTTATTTATTTATTTATTTATTTATTGGTTTTTCGAGACGGGGTTTCTCTGTGGCTTTGGAGCCTGTCCTGGAACTAGCTCTGTAGACCAGGCTGGTCTCAAACTCACAGAGATCCGCCTGCCTCTGCCTCCCGAGTGCTGGGATTAAAGGCGTGCGCCACCATCGCCTGGCTATAATCACGTTCTTAAAAGCCAGTCTGGGGCTTCAGATTAACAAGGGAGCAGATATAAAAAGGGAAGCGAGATCTTCAAAGATGGAGGCTCGGAGCTCCTTTAGTAACACTAGTGGGGACACTGAGTTTGCAGACAGGTGGGTTACGGCTAGTCCAACAATGTCTCTTTTGTACACGGCACACTAGAACAAAGGTTTGTGGAGCTCTCATCCTTGGTGGGAAGAAGGAGATTCGTAAAGTGTTCCATAAATCAAAAAGAGAAAAAGAAAGAAAAGTTCCAGGACAGGCTCCAAAGTTGCACAGAGAAATCCTGCCTCAAAAAACAAACCAAGAAAACAGTGCACCTCACCTTTCCGTTATAGGTGTTGCCCAAATCCGCTGGCAAACTAGTTTTCCAGGGAGCATTAAGTAGGCTTTCTAGAGCGAAAGTCGGGGAACGGGAGCCGTTGTTAAGCGTGACTAAGAGTGAAGATGGACACCACAACCGCGTGTCCTTAAGGTGTTTATTTAACCTTCCTTATCAAGAAGGGTTCCTTATTAAGAAGAGGCCCACCAAACAGCTATGTTGAAGGTTTACTACAGTTAGACCATTAAAAGCCATTTCTGGGGATGAGGCCTACATGTCCACTGTCATTGTTCTAGGCAATCCTTCATTCTCTGCTTTCCCAGGATAGTCACATGATCATGATCCCAGGGGACAAGAATTGATGGCTCCCAGGAAGTTCTCAAAGGCTCATATATGCTGTCCTCTGGAGACCTAGAGGGTGGGCTCAGCTCTTGAAATACCTACTCCTTCTTCTACATGTTCAGCCAGAGAGCGTCTGGAAGCCTCAAGGAGGTGCTGTGCGGCCAGGAAGACCCTGTGGGCTCCAAAGCCTCTGCAATCTACACTATCCACTGCCACTGAGAGTCCTACCTCCAATGCTACCTTCGTGACTGGAGCTGGGGACTGTGCTTTCTCTTGGCCTAATGCGAAAGGAAATTACCAACCGCTACCTGCGAGGACCCGGATTTTCAGCAGGTGAGTGGAATCTTAGCACCCAGGGGAGCGTCTCCTACTTCAGGAAGGCTGTGCCGAACAGAGTGGCTACGAACCTCCACTCACTCCAGTGTTGTGTGGCCAGCATTAGTCCCCAAGGCTCACAGGGTACAGTAACTCTAGTCTCATATCTTGGCCATCAGAGAGAGACAAGCTGTCATGAGCCTGAGCACAAATTGCCTCTCCTCTCTCATGTTTGGAGATTTAATCTCCAAGCAATTTTCTTCAAGAAATGATTGAATCGTCCCCCTCGTGGCTCTGTCTTGGCATCCTGCTTTGGACAGTATATAACTATTATCTTGGCAAGGGAAAAGACAGCACAGGAATCACTGAAACAGAAAGGCCACTTCTTGTGTTTGGTTCACTCCCAAAGTAAAAAGGCAGTGTCTTAACCAAAGGAATCATCTAATAATGATTAGAGATTTCATCAGTTAAATAAACCATTGTATTGGCCATTTCCTCTGAATTAAAGCATTCCTTCTTGCTGGGGTGGCGGAGGCCTCATAAGACTTAGGAAGCTGAGGGGCCTTGTAAGTAAAGGCTCAGAAGGTTCATGTAACTTAGTAGATTCGGGAAATTCAGAAAGTTACTGGATTTTCAAGGCCCCTTCTCAAGGTTATATAAACAGACAATACTTGTTGGGTACAGGCAAGTAGGGAGCTTTAGGAATGGAGTTTTGGGGGCTCCCATTCTCTAGTAAGGAGGCCTCATCAATATTCAGTAAAGAACCCTGATTAACTCATTGTTTTGTTTATTTGTTTTGCTTTCATTTTTAAGTTTTCTATTGACTCTTTGAGAGTTTCACATCATGCACCCCAATTCTGCTTACCTCCTGCTCCCCGATAGCCTTCCCTCATCCCTGTGATGGCCCCCCAAAAGGAAACAAATCAAAGTAAACAAAGGAAACAAAAGCAAAAACAAAAACAAACAAACAAAAAATCCCAAACCAAACCAAAAACCACGCCAGAAAGCGTTCTCTGCTTCTTTCCTGCTTCTCCAACACCCATTCATTCATCCTGGTGGCAGTGAGGCTTCAATGTGCCATGTAATATTCGTCTCTGTCCCATCAGCTTTACTAGCGAATGTTTATTGCAATGATTCAGTGGTCTGGTTCAAGGCTTCTGGTGTCTGGCACACCATCCTCACTGGATCCTCATTGGAACTCCTCTGGGATATCCCGTGGCCGCCATGAGTCTGGCCTGGATGTCACCGTGACATGGAATAGCAGTATAGGCCACTCTGATGTAGATATATCCTGGTCCTCAGACACCAACCTAGACTCAGGTGACTAATCTGACCCCGGGAGTCCTCATGGCGCTCGGTGGCAGCAGGTGCCACACACGTCAATCCGGACTCTGGCTGCTATGGGGCCACTGTCGTGGACATTGGCCCTTGGCAGCTGCCTAGGTCCAGGTGACACCAACTCATGGTTTATTTAGTTAGACTTGGGTAGAATTGTTTCTAGGACAGACAGTTCTTGGTGATCTGTCTGAAGCGAACACTCATCTGTTTGTGTTTACCCATTAAAAATACATATGAGAGAAGCAAAGCTGTCCATGCCAAAATGCTTCATATGGGGTTAAGAGAAAAAGCAAATGTGGAAAATCTGGCAGCATGGTTTGGGTCCTACAGTGATCAAAGGGGTCACTGCATCTCCATACACAGTCACCCCAGAGAGTCAGAAGAGACGGCTCCTGGGCCTGCCAGGTCCTGGGATCAGGAAAAGTAATGGTGCTTAAAATGACGCAGGGACCTTGCATTCCCAAAGAGCACCAGGAAATACAAGAGGCAGACTTGTGCTCCAGTGTGCTCACGACTTTCCACACCTGAGGCTGAACGACAGATGAGTCACGTTATGTCAAACTTATTCTAACGTAGACAATGTGGCCTCCAGCAGAACACGCTGCTCGCAGCCATTCTGCGCTCACACCACCATGTGGAGGAACCATTCCTCTAGAAGCAGAGAGGTGCAATTTCAAATTCGCTCGTTGGTCTCTCTTCACCCATAAGGAGACTCACTCCATGCCTCGTTTTGTAATTTTTCATTGCTCATTTATTATCTGCGAGGCACAGGCCAAGACTGGAGTCCACAACTGATAAGTCGGACCTGAACTTTGCCCTCATAACCCGGGCTGGTGGAGGAAGACAGGAAGGCAGGAACCTTGCGGTGCAGTGGGTTCCTTGATTGAGGTGGTGCAGCGTCCTTTGAGATGCATAGAGAAAACATATATTATAGGTGCAGGCATCAGGGCCACCTTAAAGTGAAGGCAAAGAAGGAGGAGACGAAGAGCTGAGTGGGTGGAAAAGAAATAGTTTCTGGGAAAGAAGAAGCAGGTGGCTGGTGGGGGGTGGCAGGAGAGAAAATGGCCTTTACCAGAACACAGCCATGAGTGGAGTGTCACAAAGCAGAAGGGAATGCAATTTTGATTGTACTTGGACTTGAAGCTTGGGAGAAGTTATTTGATTCAGCTCAAGCTTGATGTAAACAGTTGTTGCAGGGACAGAACAATTATGAAAAGCCCAGTTGAATTCCAGAAGTTTCAGTAAGGGATTATTGCATACAAGCAAAGAGTGAGCTCTGCGTAGGGAAGACCTGGTATGTACGGGTGTAAGGTATCCATACACGAGGATAATCAATCAATAAAATAATAATAAGAAAGAATAAAGTGACGTCATTTCTCTGAAGATTCCTTTCTTTCTCGCGGGACTTCTACTTTCTCCTTCTGCCAGGCTTGTTTCTTCACCTTCTAACATGATCTAAAATGTGCTTTTCCAAAGTTTTTATTTTGGATAAAGACAGGCCTGCGACAAAACTTTATAAGCCATTTGTTCTGTTAATATTAAATGTCAGGACAAGCGTGTTTCCATTAAGCGTTTACAGAGCGTCTTCTGTGAAGCAGCTGGATTCGAGACATCGGAGATACTGAAGTGGTCAGAACACATCCAGTACTGATGCCAAGGAGCTTTTACTCTTGTTGGAAGTAGATTGCATACCAAAAACCAAGCAATTATGTAAATAACAGCTCCTTTGGGATTGATGTTGGGAAGAAAGATAAAACAAGCTGAGGGGTTGGGAGGGATAAGAACGCCGTTTGCAGGGAAGCCAGGAGCTGTTTCTGAAACGAGTAGAAGTGAGATGTAGATGAATCATTGCGTGCTCATGTTGAATGTACATTCAACAGACTTGTGGAGTTCTGGAGGAAGGCAAGTGCAGAGATGGCTTCTGGATTAGGGCAAAAAAGAGGAGATGAAAAATGAAAAAAATATGTTACTGTAAAAATTATACACGAGCCCCACACATCAGCCATTCAACAGCCCAAGAGAAAAGCTGGATCAAGGGTCTGATACACACCCACGGGCAGAAAGCTGGGGGTTCGGTCCTGTCCCACGAGGCTGACGTGTGACCCTGCAAGGCTGCGTGTGTCCCTGCCGCGGAGACCGACAGGAACCCCCAGCAAAGATCCCCATTCTCTCCTCCACCACGAGGCTGAAATGAAGAGAAAAGAACCGAGAGCCACATGGTTCAGCACAGCACCACTTTGCCTACACTCCTCTGGGGACCGTATCTACCAGTGCTTCTCGACCCCCCTAATGCTGTGACCCTTTAATACCGCTCATACTGTGGTGACCCCCAGCCGTGAAAATATTTTCACTGCTTCATGACTGTAATTTTGCTCCTGTTATGAATCATAGTGCAAATGTCTGTGTTTTCTGATGGTCTTAGGTGACCCGTTCGAAAGGGCGTTCCGCCACCCTAAGAGGGTTACAGCCCACAGGTTGAGAATCACTGATAAACACGCTAAACCTGATTGTACAGGCTTGAACTGGAATTGCAAATTGAACCTTCCTTATCAGGTACAGTTTGATATATGATATATTACATGGAAGAAAATAATTTAAAATCTACCCCACCGCGGGGAAAATTCTGATCGATGTGACGTTTAGAAAACTAATGTACATTCTTTATGCTTTGTTTTTTTGTTATTGTTAATGTTAGGAATATTTCTTAAGATGAGTCTGCCAATGCAAATAATTGCAATTAAACCAAATTAGAACGAATAAAAGATGCCCATGTTTAATGCAGGGCTCCCGGGTGGCCTGGGAAAAGCATGGCGAGGGGGAGAGAAAAAAGGGGAGACCACACGAAACCTGGAAACCATGTGTCCTTTTCTGGGTGGCAGCCTGTGGAAGTGGTCCTGGCCCTCCCTGGGGAGGGGTCACTGCCTGGTGGTTTTTTCCAGAAGTGGAGTGCAGACCAAGGTAACTCTCAGGGAAGGGGGCTTGAAATGGAACTTCCTGCTCTATTCCATGGATGGGTGCCGGGAGCTGGGGTGATGCTTCCACCCAAACATCCCAGACTCCTTGGATATAGGGTGTCGGCTCAAGTTTGGCTACTTCCTGCGGGCATGGAACGACATGGGAGAGGGGAGAGCTGGGAGTTGGTGGGCTCACTCACACTCAGCGAGAGGTGTGGCTGGAGCAGCATCCAGTTTGCTGTTGTCCTGGAGACCTCAGGCAGCTGTTCCTTCAGGGAGATGAGAAGGCAGGTGACTAGGAGAAAAAATATTGTTATTATTAGCCCTGTGAATGGGGCTAGCCATGAGTCATTCACTGCCAGGAAGAATGGGACAGAGAAGTGCCCTGGTTGTACAGGTGAGGCTCGGGTGTATATGTGAGACACAATAGCAGATAGAACCAGATTTTATTGGGTAGGTGTCCTTGATCCAGGAGAGTTGGTACCAATGGTGAAGTCCCAGGAGCTGGTACAGGTGTTGGCATTGTCTGGAGAGGCGTTGTGAGTTTGTTTTGGCCCAGACAGCAGGAGTGACCTGTAAAACGGGTGGGGTTAAAATAGGCTCTGGAGACTGTTAGGTTTTTTTTTTTTTTCTGGGCCTCGTTTTTGATGCAGCAGCAGAACTTTTTTTCAGGAACCTGTGGGTATCTGTAAGAGAACTGGAACAAATTTACACCTTGGTGTCACAGCAAAAGGCTGCTGCTGTAGGTTAGAAGGTATGCACATTCTAGAAGACAATGAAAGGAAATTGGGAACTCTGGATTTTTTAAGATACACCCCAAACTCGTTAATCCCGAACGATGAGGCCTGTTAAAGAGGCACACCTGCCTGTATTTTAGCAGGACACTTAGCAAATGAGATAATGGGCTCCCAGTACCTTAAGTCATCAAATGCCGCTAGACAGCTCTGAGGGGATAAATGAGCAGAAATGAGACAGTTTTTTCCCCCCATCTATACAGGCAATCCACAGTCTCTCCTTAGTCCTTCCTAGGCTACATCTTGCTCCTTTATTCTCCATTGGTTGTTGAAGGCAGAGGGACTGGTGTTTTTAACTGGCTCGTATGGCATTTGCACATGGGCCTAAATAGCAGTTTTGGTTACTTATGCGTATAATATTCTGCTCTGGGAATAGTATGGGGATCACACCTGACGCCGAGTGATTAACTTCTGACACGTGCACCTTGACTCTACTACAGCACATGACATAAACCAATCCACAAAACAACCCTGGATGAAGTTCCAAGATAGAAATAAAATTTAAAAAAAACAACTTGGAAAAATTAAAGCCTATTACCCCACCTGAAAAATACCAATTCCATCCTAATGGACTCCAATGGGAACAAGTTTGATTAAATCCCAAAGAATTTAAAGTGATTATATGAATATTTAACAAAATGAAAGAGGCTACAAACAAATTCTGAAATGAATTTAAAGAAACTAAAAACAAGCAGATGAAGGACATAAAATAGTCAATAGAAGATATGAAACAGAAATTCACAAAAGAGATATAAATACTGAAAAGTTGAAATTTTAGAAATTACACCACAGGAAGTCAAATAAGGAACCCAGTAATTGAAATGGATCAAGTAGAACACAGAATACCGGTGATAGAAGGCAAGAGTGATGCATTTGAATAGTCAGATAAAGTCTTAAACAATATAATATTGAAAGGGAAAAAAAACCGAACCAACTAAACAAATAAAAGACTCAAATGTGGAGGAAGAGGTGACCATCCAGACCCAGGAAGTCTTTAGAGCATCAAACAGATAGGACTTGAAATGGCTTCCCCACATCATCCTGTAGCTAAAATGCCAAATGCAGAGAGTGAAGCAAACTACTGAAAGTTTCGAGAGAAAGACTTGAAGTCACATGTGCAGGCAGACCATCAGTGTCACACAGATTTCTGAACAGAAACTATAAACACCAGGGAAACACAGAATGGTGTATTCCAACCCAAAGATAATAATTTCCAACCCACAGGAGAGAATTAGGCAAAACTATCTGTTATCACTGAAGGAGAAAGAACTGTGTATGATTAAAAACATGTGGAGAGAATTCATGACCACTAATCCTACTGGAGATACTTGAGTGAATCCTTTGGGTTGGAGAGGAAGATGAACATATCTGTTATGCTACAGGAAAGAAAAAAGAAACCATGTTCGAAGAGTAGCTACATGGGTGAGGAATAGAAGGACAGGAAACACTACAAAGATTAACAGAATGCCAGGAATTAATACACATCCTTCAATAATAACGTTGACGTCAATATGGCAGTTTTTAAGAAAAGAAACCAGAACAAAAGTCTCTGCGGATGCAGATGAAAGAGGACACTAACATGCTGCTGGTGTGTGCATAAAATGGTGTGGCCACTGTGGACATCGGGATGGAACCTTCTCAAAACACTAAAAATAGCTCTCTCATGTGACCAAATGGGTATTTACTTGAATGACTCCAAGTTAACATATGTCAGGGATTTTTGCAGTCTGGTTATCAAAGCAACCTTTAAAATATCTAAGTGATGAGACCAACTGGGAAAGGAAGTACCACATATACACACAGTGGAATACTTTTCAGCCAAAAAGAAGAAGCGCGCATTTGAAAGAAAATGGATGCAACTGTAGAGAATCACACCAGGCAAATTAAGCCAGTCTCAGAAACACAAATATTGCATTTCCTTTCAGTGGACTAGGAAGGTCCACCGCCTCACAGACCCCTTCTAGAGAAGATAACTGGTACACAATTTTCTCTTGAGAACAATTTCAAGAAAACTTATCTGACACCTTTAAATACAATTGGTACAAACCTATCCTTCCCCCACCTCCACAGAAGTCCCGATCTGGATGACTTGCAGTTGAGATAAGACCTGATCTCGATATAGACATTTTTATATTGTTTTAATAATTTAAATAATCTTATATATGTTTAAGTAACAAATGCCTTAGTTACATTTACAGATTCTATAACATTTTTGAGCTCTCTGGAAGTAGAACTCTTTAAACATGCCTACAGTTTGACTTTCAGGCATTTGGCTTTCAAATACATTTTTAGAAACTCATCACAAGGGAACTTTGCTGCCTTTAATTTGTGGGGAGAAGATCTATCCCATTTGTTAAGAATACTGTGGCGTTCCTTTGAAAGGAGTTTTCTCTCTCATAAGGCAAAACATCAGATCTGATTTCGTTTTTAAAATAAGTCAAGCAGTCATGCCCTTCAGGATCAGGGTCAGTCACTGCTCATGGACTTCCAGGCTGTTTCCTGTTGCCCAGAGACATGAAGTGACAGAGATGTCCCTCCCCCCACACAGACACTCATGGGTCTGTCTATGGGCTAGGGGTATTGCCACTGTAATTCATGCAGAATCATTTTATGTGGAAGAAACTGAGACTCTAGTGGGTGCTGGTTTAATATTCCCAGGACAAAAGGACCCCCACTCTCATCCTACAGACTCGACTGTCTCTCAGGTTTGAAAAAAAATAAAAGCATTTAAAAACACTCAATTGATCTCCCAAGTCTTCAAGTGTCTTCTGTCTTCAGTCAAGCTGTTTATTCTTCCTGAAATGTTTCAGATGCACCCGTGAGGCCTTGAAATAGTGTGTAGCTTATAGCGACCTATTTCTTAGCCCTTCCAAAGATACTGGTTTCTAAGCGCACACTTTTCTGGTTTATATCTTGAATTGGACTCTCCAGTACGTGGCTAAATATTTAGAGATATATAAAGAAAATGCCTAGGAAGCTGTTTCCTGCTTGGATTTTGAAGAGGCTTATAGCATAAAATTTAAAACCTGAATATATAATATTTGCCTCTTCATGGTTTTCTGGGTTAAGTGCGTTTTAGAAAGCGCTGTGTTTGTTGAACAGATTTTTTTTTGTGCATTTGGCAATTGTCATTATAGACAACAGAACTGCAGCAGTACAGACTTAGATAAAGGCTCAAAAGTTTGAAGAAATCTCAAAATGCATGTAATACACAATAGCATTTTTGAAAATGTATAAATGTACAAGAAAGAAAAGCCTAGAGTAATGTATACCATTGTTTTACTAGTGTTTATATAATCAGGTAATGCGATTATAGCTTCATTTCATTTTAAAGTTCCTACAACAAAATTGTATTTTTAACATGAAAACTAAGATGCCGGAGTCTGGTTCACTCTGACCTGTGGAAGCAGAGCTACCAAGCCCCCTGTTCCTCTCATTCTCAGACTTCTTGGATTCAGAGAGCCTAAGTGGAGGTTTAAAGAACAAAGGCCTGGGTTATATTACCCCCCTACAGTGAATGGATCCCATGATGCTATGTTGTTCCTCCAACAATGGAACAATCCCACATTGTATTGCACCTGGGAGGCTTTGGTACTTTCTTTACACCTGTGACAGAGCTTAGACTTGCCCAAACGGCTCTAGTCCTGAGCCTTGAATGAGACATCAGGCTTGAAGCTCTAAGCTTTATATAAAAATCTTCAGCCCCCACACTAAGTTGAGCCTGTGTCTGTTCATGCATGAATGGACACAGATATTTACTACTGGTGAAGCATGCTTGGAAAGCCCAAGACTCAATCTAAAAAGCTTAGGGAATAAACTGAGGAAATGCTTCTGGTTCAGCGTTTTTAAGAGGACTTTAAAGGTGAGGGTACCAGTTGGTGGCGTTAGCTTGTTTTTCCTCTCCCAGTGAACACAGGTGACTCCTCTGTAAACCCAGACTCGCTCAGAATGTTTTGCTGTCAGAAAAGCTTGATTTTCTTATCAAAGCCTGCTGGGAAACTCCTGATACTGACCACAGACTCCACCAACAGCCGGGGTTCCTGGGGTGTCGTTAATAACTGTGCCTTTAAGAATTTATTCAATTGCTAGCTCATTTCGTCTTTCTAGGCATATAATCTTAGTTTACTCTGACAAAGGTGGAACAGCCCAGTTGTCCCATCTCATTTTTCCTGGGAGGTCATCGCACTATGGAAATCAGTTGGCTTGATTTTCTCACAGACTCAGTTTTTTTTTTTTTATGAGTTTGAGAAAAAATATGATTTAGTGGCTGGAGAGACAGCCTCAGTGGTTAAATGTGCTTGTTGCTCTTGTAGAGGACATGGGTTTGGCTCCCAGGACCCACACTGGGTAGCTCACAACTTTCTGTAACACTCTCCTGAGTCCTCTTCTGGTCTCTGGAGTCACCTGCACATACACGGTGCACATACATACACTGAGGCACATGCGCGCGTGTGCACGCGCCACACACACACAGAGAAAGAGAGGAAGAGAGATAGAGATA